GTGTGTGTGTGTGTGTGTGTGTGTGACATGAGTGTGTGAGTGTGTGAATGGCTGACTGCAAAACTGTAAAGCTTTGAGTGGTCATCAGGACTAGACACACTCCATATGAGTAATTAGCATTTACCATTTACAGTTTAATGCACTGTGTTATGCGGAAGTTTCTCTCACATCGACAACAGTTCTGCGTTCATGCTTTAACCGTGTTGTGTTTATTGTCGTCATGCTGCAGGAGATCCTGGATGCTCTAGTAAGTAATGTGAACATCGAGCTCCTGAACACTCTTCATTACCACATGGTGAACCGCCGACTGACCTCAGAGGAGCTGAAACATGGATCCTCGTTCGCCTCAATGTTCCAGGACTTCCACGTTCACATCCACCACTACAGCAATGGAGTCAGTGACACACTGTGACACACAAGCACCAACACATCATTACTTTATCAACACTGATGACCTCCTTTATCTCACCTTGTCAGATCATGACAGTGAATTGCGCTCGTCTGATCAAACCTGACCAACATGCCACCAACGGCATTGTGCATGTGGTTGATCGTGTCATCACCGCCATCTCCAGCAACTTAAACATGCTGATCGATGTTGATGAGGACCTTGAGACGCTGTGTGTGAGTACACCAGGTCTTACCCAGGTTCAGGCTCAGGATTCAGACACTGACTTCCTGTGATTCTTTTTTTTCCAGACGGCCATTGCTGCTGCAGGTTTGACCCCCATGTTGGAAAGCGAGGGTCAGTACACCATCTTCGCTCCCACCAACGAAGCCTTCAAGAAGATTCCTCAGGAGACCCTGACCAGGATCCTAGGAGACCCAGTGGCTCTGAGAGGTGGCCAGCAGGAAGCGCTCTGATTACACTGCTGTTTTACTTGTTAAGACAAACTTAAAGAAGTGGATTGATGTGAGTCCTCCTCTGTTCCCCTCAGACCTGCTGAACTACCACATCCTGAAGCAGATGCAGTGTGCTGAGTCAATCGTGTCGGGGACTCCGATGGAGACGCTGCAGGGAACTGTTCTGGAGGTCGGTTGTGACGGAGACCACATGACCCTGAATGGTAAGGCCATCATCACCAAGAAAGACCAGCTGGGAACCAATGGAGTCATCCACTACATCAACGAGCTGCTCATCCCAGACTCAGGTACTGCTACTACTGTTAATGCATTCACTACCACTACTACTGTTACTGCTACTACTGCTACACTTAAAGCCACAGTACAACTCATACATTCTACTCATAAAAGTACTCGTAGTGATACTTGCAGTACTCACAGTATCATTGTCTGTTTCAGCGAAAACTCTCCTGGAGCTCGCTGAAGGTTCACCTGTTACCACGGCAACCACATTGTTTGTTGAAGCTGGTCTGAGCCCCCACCTGACGGGTTCCGAAGCTCTGACCATGTTAGCTCCGCTCAATGACGCCTTCAAAGGTAACGCTCACACTCCTTTGATCCTCATTAAATATCGGTGAGACTGCCCCGAGTGTTCAAAACTACCTGTCTGTCTGTCCACCTGTCTGTCTCTCTGATCACCTGTCTGTCCACCTGGCCGTCCACTTATCTGACCACCTATCTGTCTCTCTGATCACTTGTCTGTCCACTTGTCTGACCACCTGTCTCCCTGACCACTTGTCTGTCTCTCTGACAGTTTGTCTGACCACCTGTCTGTCTCTCTAAACACCTGTCTGTCCACTCATCTGACCACTTGTCAGTCTCTCTGACCACCTGTCTGTCCACCTTTCTGTCTCTCTGACCACCTGTCTGTCCACTTTTCTGTCCACTGATCTGATCACCTGTCTGACCACCTGTCGGTCTCTCTGACTACCTGTCTGT